AAAAAAAAAAGAAAAAAGAAAAAGAACAAAATCAAGATTGAAATTTACTATTTACGAGAAAAAAAGATATTAAAATTCAATATATCGTAATAATAAATAATTTATTTATTTGAAAATTATTATTATTATTATTATTATTATTGAAAAATATAACCTCAAGTATCAAATATAAATATATACGTATTAGGTGTTATTTGCGTTCTGTCAAATATCATTCGAGATCAGTCTTTTGGTAACCGCTGAGGTAGAAAGTTGGGAGATCCGATATAAAGATACATTTAAAGGTAAATATATATGTATATGCATATATATAGATAAATGCATATATATATATATATATAAAGTGTAGAGTGGTATATATTGGATCTTATTTTACGATCGTCACGTTTCATACGAAATAAAAAGCATAAGAAGGCCTGGAAATTCCCAACATCGATAGATATCATACGTAATCGATAAGCTTCTGACGGTGAGATATTTTTTTCTGCATGTACTACACAGAGGAACGTCACAAAGGTTGTGACCATTCACGGCTTAAGCAAAAAGTAAACGAAACGAGAAAGCGTGACGTTAAGCGTTTTTACTTCGATCATTGCGTTCGTTAAATCAAACTCGTTATTTTCTTTATCCTTTTTTTTTTCTTTTTAACTCAAACTCATCTAGATCTAACAAACACGATTCTTTGAATGATTCGTGCTAAAGAATAATTTAAACGTTAGAAACGAAGATATTATATACATATATATATATATATATTATAGTACGAGGAATGGATCAATAATAGGAGAACAATAGTGATCGATATGTAATATTAAAGTATGCACAAAATGTTAGATTGTTTATCGATAATTTTTATTTTATTATTATTATTATTATTATCACTATTATTTTATCTTTTGTTCGTTTTTTTTTTAGAAATTTGTTGGATATTTTCTTTTTATTATCATTTATATTAATTCTCCAATCCCCTTTGATTTGAATTTGAATTAAATTGTACATATAAAATTAGATAAATTGCCAGGAAATAGAGTCGATTATCTCGGTGTGGGATAATTATTGGATACCGAAAGATTAATTAAATGATTACGAAGATACAAATGTTTCCTTATATTTCTTTCTTTTTTTTCTTTAAAGGCGCCAAGTCAACGACCTTACTACGTGAAAGTATATCAGATCGAGACGACAATATTTAATTCGATTAATTATAAATTGGTATTTCCAATTCATCAAGAAAATGAATTGATTATTTTGTCTAGTCGTTTTTATCATTAATTTGATTAAATTGATTATTGATATTGCAAGTTTTGAGTGAATATATACGCGTAAAGATAAATAAAAAGTAAATACATAAATAAATAAATAAATAAACAAACAAACAAATATATAAACACGAATAATTATGATAAAACTGTAATATAATAATTATTAAAATCATCGTGTCACACACATACATCTTTTGATTAGATAAATTATTATTATTATTATTATTATTTGTAGAGAAAAAATAATTGAATATAGGAAAGACGAAAGATTACAGAAAATAACGAAAGACCTGGCCTTTACACCGATTGCGTTTGGCGTCTGGCTGGCACAAGAAGACACCACCGTGTCACGGTCACGACAAAGTGCGGATTTGCCTTGAATAACTACCTCTTTCTTCCTCGTCACACTGGAGCGAGCTTTATTTAGACGTCTTCCTAGGTAAAACGACGAAAGTCTAAAATATGTAACACAAATGCAACGATAAATAATGAATTCATCTTTTTTTTCATTATTCGATCGATAGGTATAATCTACACTTCAATATTATTCATTATTTTTATTTTTTATTCAATATATTTTCACATGGTTACGATTTATTTATTCTTCGATATATTTTTGTGTAAAACATATATATTTTTATTATTTATAATTGAGAGTATATTAATTGATCAACTTACACAAATCTACTTCGCGATATATTTACTTTTATTATTAATTATGTATTCGTATTTGTATTTCGATTTATAATCTATTTCATTATTAATGTGAACATTTTTATTTTTATTATTAATCAATTATTCACCTCTCTTTTCAGAGAAGATAATTTAATTGAAATATATACGACATTGTATAATATATTTATATTTGTATTTCATTCATTATGCGTAACTTGATTTGTAATCTGGTTTGACGCGTTAATCAATTACATTTTATTATTTAATATTCACGATTAGAGATCGGAAATAATGTTAAAAATATCTATGCGAATAGTTCTTTTTTGTTGTGTTTATATTTTTCTATATATAAAAAAAAAATGGAATCAAAAAGAGAATGAGAGGAAGAAGAGAGAGAGAGAAAGAATGAGAAGAAATGTTGGTTAAACGAGACTATTATTTGAATGCCGAGAATATCCTGGGGTCTCGACGTCTATCCGTTGCAATATCGGCTCGTCGAGAAAAAGAGGAAAAAAAAACGCAAGAGAGAAAGAGAGAAATTTATAGAGAGAGAGAGAGAGAGAGAGAGGGAGAGAGAAAGAGAGAGAGTGCACTTGTCGTGGATGACTCTTAATAAAATATATGCAGACAATGAGTCTTTAAAAACAACGTGAAGTACTAATGAACTATAAATAATGTTCGTCGTTTTTATCGACCTGATTTCGTCCTTACAAAAGACAACGACGAGGACGAGGTCTAACCTTTGGCACTAACTAAATTCTAATTTATTTCTGTAGCAAAAAGATCGACGGCCCAACAACAATCGTCGGCTGGAAGGAAAGAAGGGAAAGGGGGAAGGGGGAATTTAAAAAAAAAAAATCATTTGTTACAATTTCTTTTTTCAAACAATTTTCACGTTCACACGGGGCCCAATGAATTTAAAACGAATTTATAAATGGATATTTATTAATATTGTTTAATATCAATATAAAATTAATCTATTGAAATAATTATATATTATACGTTTGTTGTTGAAACACAATTTTATCAAGACCAATGATTAGATCTCAACAATTTAGCGTAATTTCAAGACGGTAATACATATGGCTCGCACGTTTCGTGATAATACTTGTTGTATAAATAGAGTTAGTAGTGTCCTCTTTTCACTTGGATCACTCGCGATAATACTTTATCGTTCTCTTTGTTTTATAACGACTAGGTATATACGTATATTTATTTTATTTTATTGTTTTTCTTTTTCTTTTTCTTTTGTTAATATAACAAAAGGCGAATTGAGTTTATTGTTATGTCATATGAACGAGAAAGAACGTGCATATATGAGTCTATAGACAATTTTTTTTTAATAAAAATCAAATATGTCAGTAAACTCATAACGTAATACCCCGCGACCGCGATAAACAAATAATTATTTTATAAATTAATATCGTTCGAGATTGTGAAACAACAACAACAACATAGAAAAATGAAAATGAGAAACAAATTAAATCGATTCCTCGTTTTTTCATTTTTTTTTCTTTAAATATCGTCGAGTATTATCAAGCAAATGCATTCACAGAAAAATACATTAAAAATTTATCACTCTTCATATTATAAATATACACATACACAAATAAATATATATATATATATTCGTATTAATAATGGTATAATTAGATGACAATAGTATTGTACATTTACTAGATCGATAAGCACGATTGATTGATAAAAAAAAAAATGGTCTACCGACAAGAAACGATAATAAATTTTAACTTTTATCAAAGAACTTCAACAATATTATGATAAATCGATTCTTCGCATGATCATCTCATCCCATATCAAATTCCTTCATATTTTTACAACTCTGAGATTACAAATATACACGAAACAATTAGATGATGATCACTACTGTGAACTGGTTTTGTAGAATTAATCAAATAAACGGAAGACAAAACAAAAAACATGACCCAGAATATAGTTGATTTGTTTTTTTATCGTATTTATAACGCGTATTTATAATACAAGTAATAATATTGCGTTTATGGGGTTGAACGACTGTAAAATACGTGCATTTATATATATATATATATATAAATAAATAAAAGTAAAATGAATATTCTGGATATATATTTTGTAAATTCTTATTTGTTATTCATTTAATAATAAAATATAACTCGAGTAAAGTTGATTTTTATGGAAGAAAGGGGAATGGGTCGGGGTTGTAGGAGAAAAGGAAGGGGTAGAAGGGAGGAAGGAAGGAGTAGGGTTGGAGAACGTTCGTTTCGCACGAGAATGAAGATTTAAATCTGAAATTAATTCCATCGTCTCGTGGCTCCCAGGTCTAGGTAGGTGAAGGTTGCAGTAAAAATTCGTGATTGCGTTTAGCAGCGACCGCGAGGCAACGATCGATTTTGCGTAGCCAGGTGAAAAATGAATGCAACTCTTTACCTACCCTCCTAACTCCTTCTTTTTCTCTCTGACTTTTTTTCTCTCTTTCTTTTTCTATCTCTCTCTCTCTATCTCTATCTCTCTGTCTCTCATATACGAGTAAACTAATATTATTTTCTCTTGTTATTTTTCCAGACTATCGCGTATCTCTTTGTGCAAACCAAACGTACGATTAAACGAACATCCAAGGTATTCATGTGCTATTGTTTCAAGTCGACTAACTTTTTTCTTTTTTTTTTCTTTTTTCATAGATTAAATATAAAATGACCTGAAATTCTATTAAAAGTATGATATTACTCTTTTGAGATTAATAGTTTATCGATTTATATAAATCTTGTTTCTTATATAATTCGATATATCCAAAATCTTGCTTTTATTCCGCATATATATATATACATATATTTTTTAAAAAATCATATTTATACGTTGTTTGTCTCTTGTGTGATTCCATATATTATCGAAAATCTTAACTTTATTTTAATTTTATTTATTTGTTTTTATTTTCTTCTATTTTCTCTTTATTTGTCTTATTCATCTCGTCTTGATTTAATAATATTTTATTCTTTATTTATTCATAAATTTTTCATCATTTTCGATGATTACAATCTTTCGTATTTTTTTTTTTTTTTCTATTTTCTCCTACTCTTTCTCTCTCTCTCTCTCTTTGTTTTACAAGGAGGTCAAGAAGAAGAAGGTACTTTACCAGCTAAGATTAATATTACAAACGAAGGACAAGTCTTAAGAAATTCCTTGTCTCCCTCTACGTAGATACATACATCTTTTATCTTATATTTCTCTTATTTTTGTTTTCCTTTTTTATTTTTTCCAAAAAAGATTGTTTACTCGATCGAACATTTTTTTTATTTTATTTTCTAGTTTCAGACATGTTACATTCGTTTTAGACCCTTTTACAACGTCGTACAATTTTCAGTATCTTTACAAATGTATCATAGTTAATTTATATCAAAGAAAATGAATATTTTGTAAGTATAAGTTTTGTATTTAGTATAGTATAATATATAATCATACTAATATAATAAGTATTAATTAATTTAATATATAATATAATTGTATAAATTTTAATTTAAAAAGAGATATAAAAAGAAAGAGTATATATAATTATATTTAATATAGTATAATTATAATAATATCCAATTGTGTAAGTCATGTTATAAATTTGTCAATGTAAAATTTGTGGTTAGATGCAACAAAAGTTTAGTTACAGAAAGTTAATGTTATATAGTATGCAATACCTGAAGACTTGTAAATTTGTGTGAACACACACATGTATACGTGTAGATGCATGTACAACATATGTTAGTTCCAATCGCATAATCGTGAGCTTAGAAATGGTGCCAAGGTAACAAAACGTTAGATCTAGTGCGTACGTTAAGTTATTAAATGCATTTAGAGTATAATTAGAATCCTTCGAGATTACGTTTTCCTTTTTTTTTCTTTTTTTTTTTTTTTTTTGAATTTCCCATCGTGATAATGTTTTTCTAAGGGAATATAGTAGAACGAAAAGTAACGATTTTTTTTTTCCCATTTCGTTTAGTTCCTTTTTTCTTTATTTCAAACGGCTTTCTCGCAAACATCGTTATTAAAGGGCGTTAGCGTGAAAAGCAGAAAACAGGGCTTTTCTTTTTTTCTTCTTCGAATAACCAAGATTCCTTTCGCAAGTTTTCTTTCATGTGATATTTCTGACATGCTTGAGCACCGGTGTATCTAAAATTTCACGCTGGAAAGATCACGAACAATATGATAAAAGACAAAACGTGTGAGAACTTTCTTTTGAAAGACTTGAATATATGTTTTTATGTATGATTATACACACGTAAGCACATAACTCAAATCTCACGTTCGAGATCATCTTATTTTCTTAACCAAATACAAAATGAAATAATTATTTCGATGTTTTTAAGTTATAATCTTTTTTAATCCGCTATCTTTTTTCTTTTGTTTGTTATTTTTAATTAAAAATTATGTAATATAAAATTTATAAATAGATGAAATTTTGTAAGCATTATGAGGTCCCACTTATTAGGATTCTTAATTACGATAAAGAGCTTTCATTTAGATATTTAAAAGTATCCTTTTTGCGAAAAAGATCCTTTTTCTAAATCGACTATTTTCCTATATATACATACATACATACATTTATACCAACATATCTACCTATCAACCTACCTACACTAGAACGATGCGGAAATCCTTGAACGATACTATTATGCACCGAATGTCCTTCACTTTTTCTTTTTCTTTCTCTCTCTCTTTTTCTCTCTCCGTTTCCCTTTCCCTCTCTTTTATCTTTTCCTTCGTGTTTGTTAGGAAATGAGTTAGGTTCATTAGAAAATGAAATCAAATTAAGATCGACGAAAGAGCCGAAATAAATTGGACGACCCCTCTCCTTCCAACGATTCGTTATACCCAGTGGCCCATTTTAATTGTAACATGTTGATTACTTCCAAAGCACTATGCCTAACTAATGACCTAGATTGTTTTTTCTAATTAAGATCAGACTATTGCATTACAATCGTTATTCGTCTTTTTTTTTCTTCTATTATGATCATCATGAAATCCTTTTTTCTTTTTTTTTTATTATGATATATCCAAATCATTACATTTAATTAATCATATTTATATACAAACACATTTTTGTCTATGAATAATAATACAAATGATTTAAACACGCATATTTCTCACGTGTATTTATAAAAACATTATTTAGGATAAAAATTAATGATTTGAAAAGAAAAATAAATTACTATGTTCGATCAATAAAATGAACGAACATTGTCGGACGTCGTCGTTCGTGCGTATTCGTCCTTGTTCGTTGTTCTCCTTCCAAACACATAATTTTGTCGATCGCAAAAAGGGATATCCACTGTTCGTGACACTTTTCTACACATCCGTCATGGAACACGGATAATATCCTGATAAATGCCAACATGTTAATGCATATAATATATAATCTATCATATACTATGTGTAAGTTACTTTAATACGCCTATGCATGTTAGGCTTATACGAGAATGTGTTTGTACTTTGGGATATCCAAGTAGCTTGTCAACTACTCAACTTAATTTGGTTATGGAATCCAAGCCTCTCTCTCTTTCTCTGTCTGTCTGTCTGTCTTTCTCATTAATAATGGAGTATTCCATTAGGAATTTGGTATTTACATGGTGTTAAATTTAAATCGATCGATGAACGATATAAACGTATCAATGATTATTTTAACAATGAGCTAAGTTCATAAAAAATTGACAAAATTCATGTAATCATTAATTTTATGATATAAATAATTGTAATATAAAATAATTATAAAACAAATAGATTTTTTCTCATTTTTTTGTTCCACTATTATAATATTATGAGTATAAATAAATATCTTTATAAATTATTCGAATAGTTATTATATACGCTTCAGAATGAACTATATTTTATATTTCTATTAAACATACACTATATATATATGGGATATCTTCAACATAATAGTAATTAATGTAGGTTTGTTCAAATTGTATTAACATTAAATGAATTTGATAATACAAATTATATTCATTAAGTTTATATAAGATAGATTAAAGCAAAATATATATAGTCGAGAGAATGGTAGATTATTGTTATTATTATTATTATTATTATTATATTATGAGGATGACGACGATGACGATTATTATAACTATATTGTAGATGCTGAATCTAATCATTAATTTACGTAAGCGAGTTGGAAATATTCGCTGCAAGATAGACTACTCAACTTAATTTCAGCCAGTTGACCTACTTTCGAATATAAACGTAGCAATTAAACACCGAAGAAAGAGATTAATTTATCATATTTTGTCGAATTAAAAATGGTCAAGTGGAAGTATTATTTCGTTGACATATTTTACAAATTTTATTTCGAATCTACGTTAAGAGAATGTGTATGCAAATATTTTTATTTTAATATAATCTTATTCTCTGAGAACGTGTTGAAAAACATACATATTATAGAAGAAAAAAAAAAAAAAAGAAAAAGAAAAAGTAAAAAGTTTATTTTATTTGTAAAATAATCATATATTTCTTTTAAAAAATTAGTAAAATATCAATTGTAAAATACTCTAAATACTATAATAATGATCAGATATATTTATTTAAATGTTTTCTTCTCATCGTATATACATATAAAAACATATACACACACACATATATATATATATAATATATAATGTGAAAGAAGAAAGTTTCGTCGCGTATAAACGACTGTCCTCTTTCTTTTAACACGAACGTCTGCCAAGCTTTACCGTTGGTCTATTTAAAAAAACTCGAGGGTAGGTTTCTCGTAGAAACGAACGACGTTTCCTGCCTATAGTAATACCATGCCATTATCGTAACTACATACGTACAACCATTCGCCATTGTTGTTCGGACGTGGTCCGTTCACTCGTACAATCGTACAAGTAGAGAAATTCGTAGGGTATTACGATGTTCGAATTACGAACTTGTTAAAGTTTTCAATTTCACGCTGAACTAAATAATAAACGTGTTTAATAGCTACATGGATTTACGTGAGTAGATATGTGTGTTTCTATGTGTGTGTATGTGTGTGTGTGTGAATCACATGCTAGAATTTCGAGAATTGAACTTTTGATGGAAACTTAAATGAACCTTTTCTCTCTCTCTCTCTCTCTCTCTCTCTCTCTTTCTCTTTCTCTTTCTCGTAGTTCTTTGTTTAAAAGTTAAAAACAGGGGAAAAAAATGAGAGAAATGTAATTTTATTTGAAATATTCGCAAATAAATATTACATGGAGACAAAAAAATGTACAATCGTAAATGTACGATAGGTATCGTTTGTTTATGCAAAAGGTTTTACTCGTTTTGTCGAGAAAATTGCGATCGAAGGGCATTAGTGGACTTTTCTCGGTGCTCGTATTCCCTGTTAAACGGGAAAAAGGGGTTGAATACTTTTTTTTTTTTTTTTTCCTTTCCTTTCCTATTTCCTACCTCTATCTCTTTTTCTTTCCCATCGAGAAACTCTCACGAAAAAATGCGCATCGTCAAACTCGAGGAAGCTTTAGTCGAGCAGCCGAGCGTTAAACGAGGGAGAAAGGTAAAGAGAAAGATAAAGATAAAGACTAAGAGAGATAGATACATAGTTAGATAGATAGATAGATAGATAGATAGAAAAAGAGAGAGAGAGAGAATCGCTTTATTATCTCCGAAAGTTCAAAACGACGATCAAAAATGTAGAACGTAGTTCATTCATACCGTTAATATACTTCGAAACATTTCATAAAACAATGTTTCTTATCTATTCCAAATAAATAAATAAATAAATAAATAAAATGTAATTATTTGCGTAGTAACACAATATTTGATTTGAACGCGATCTTTTCTTTTTTCCTTTTTAATTAGGAGCATTTAAAAATGTGTTTTACGAATCGAGGTCAAGGTTGACCTTTGCGTTGTACATACTTGGCAACCAGGCAGGTCTACGTCGATTATCAGAATTTTTTGTACAACCTTACGAATTCGAATCAACTTAAAATCGAACGTTGTGGCATTTCGTTTTCTAATCCCAATTGTATGTGTGAGAAAAAAATCTATGAAGAATAGAAAAAGAATTTAACGTGTGGGTGTTGAGACGGGTTTTGTATATTTTTATAATTTATAAAAACTCGGGCGCGTGTGTATGTAATATGTAACACGTTGAAGGAGTAACTAGGAAGTAAGAGGGTGCAAGTTGAAGAGGGTGCCAACGATGAAAGGGGTGTTTCGCGATGTCGCTTTTATAAGGGGGTAGCAACACGCGATTAGGAGTATGCCGCGTGTAAGAAACTTTCATTTCAACCTGTTCCACTTTCAATGATATCGTATCAAAGTGAATCGTTCTATGTGTATGTGTATTATGTGTATGTCTCTTTCTTTCTTTTTCTCTTTCTTTCTTCCTTTCTTTCTTTATTTCTTAACGTGTTGTAGCCCATATTGAACTTCTTCCATGTGTATCACACATCAAGAAAAAAACTCGTACAAATAAAGTATTTACAGCGATCATGGCAAATAGTATCTACCCCATTTGTTACTTATCAATCAATAACAATTTATTTTGTTATATTTAAAGGATAATCAAATTCCTAACGTTACGAAATAATTTTCTTACATTTGGGTTATGTTTATTTGATTATATATTTGGAGACGAGTTAACAATTAACCCTTTGCATTCGAAAAATCACTCGATTTAACACGCGATATTTATTTAAGGTTTTATTTGAGCAATATCGTTTCATAAATGCCTTCGACGATATATGCGTGCATAAAAATTGCCAATTTTTAATCTTAAATACGACATTTACATGCATTCTTATATATGCCTTTTTGACGCATATTTGAATTCGACATTCGTTGCAATAGGAATATTATTTTCAAAGTTACGGAGTTCGCAATAAGCACGTATAGATTGTAATAGAATAACCTGCTATTTTATACATTGCCCGGTTTATGGGTCGGATATAACATTTACACACATGAAGAATATATATAAAAGAAGAGTAATTTTTCTACGTATAGGAGGGCTGAAAAGTTCAAAGCTCATCATGCAGAGGGGTGTAAATTTTTGTCATGATTTTGGAAAGGTTACGTCAAGATTTTGTCATACTTATACATAATATAAATGTACCGTGCCCAGCATGTGGAGGTTTGTGATAGAATGATCTGTTATTTCGATTCTATTAAATGATCGGTATTAAATACAAAAAAAATTGCAAATAATATGGGAATATGGGAATATGTTACTGGTCTCTGAAAATAATTTTCTATATGTATGTACGCGTGTACATAAAATGGTTGAAAGATAAAAAAAAAAGATAGAATATCATATAATTTTTTTAAGTTCATCATGATGGGGTTTCACTTTGTAATATTTTTTTCAGATGACGATTACTGCTCGTCGATGCTGAAATAGCTATGAAGTACTGAAGAGTCTTGTACTCGAGCTAGCGGATGAAGAGAGTCGCCAGTTAAGATGAGAGTTCGTAAAAGTTGAAGGAGAAAAAGGAAAATCTACACAACGAACAGCAACAACCTGCCTCGTCCATTGCGACCAGCCACATATCTCACGTTAAGGTGAGTCCCTATTCTCATATTTTTCTCTCTCTCTATGCACATATAATAATTTTTTTAACATCACTCTGAAGATTTTGTTTACAGGACTATTAAATATTTTTATTCTTTTTCGTCGGAGAGAGAACCAGAATTTATATATACAAAATTATTTAAGAGAATGCTACAATAAAACGTAATATGGAAACAACATATGTTTTTTACTATAAAACGTAACATATTAAAAATGTTTGTTATATTACTAGAACATATAAAATAATATATGTACAGTTTGTTACCGAGAAATGAATTGATGAAAAATATGTATGGTATATTACAAATATAAATTATACCAAATTATACTATTATTTATTATTATTGTATATATATATATACACAATATATATACAAGTATATATATAACTGTAAATAATATAACAAGTAACATTATATATATATATATATATGTGTGTGTGTGTATAGTGTATTAGGAAAATTTGGTATACTAAAGATGTCTATAGTTTTTTCTAAAGTATTTTTTTTATACAAGAATTACGAGAGAGCGGAATTACCTGGATGTATCGATTTATGCAAAATTCATTCTATCGTCAAGAGCGATTCACGCGATGGATATAAATATGGATCGACCAGACTCACATACAAACACATCCACACATACATTTGAAGTCCTTAGTAGACTTGTCATCTTATGTAAATCGTGTCACAATAGCGTTATAGTTGTGTTTCGTTCTTTTTTTTTATATGGAAATCTTTTGAAACATTGAATGAGGATAATATTGCTTACGTAAATTGGGTCCTGTCTATATATACATATACATATAAATATTGGTATAATTTAATTAAAATTCTAATTAATCCGTATGATAAAAATATATATGTATATGTCGATGTGTGATAAAGTTACAGAGTTACAAACATTTAATTAAAAAGATTTTATATTATTGATATCATTATATGATTACATGTTCCCATACATATTTAAATATAAATGTATATAAATATTTAAGAAAAATTAAATTACGTCTATATTATTATTTGTTAAATAATTTTCATATAATAATTTATCATTAATATAATATAATATTAATTATTATATTATATTTAATATAATTAATATTTATATTATAATTAATAATATAATATTATACTTCCAATTGTATAAGAAAAAATGTAAGAGACTAAATATTTTATTTTTTCAATATTTTAATGAATATTATATATATAAAATGATATATTTTATAAAAACAGAGAAAATCATGAACGTGGCCTAGTGACATGCTTCTTTTAGCTATTTCTCTGCATCAATTTTACCGCACCCTTGCCCATAACCTATTCCCACGTAATAGAGAGAGAAAGAGAGAGAGAGAGAGTACACCTTTCTTAGCTTTGCGTGATTCTATGAACTAACCATGTCACGACGCGGTTAACAAGCTACACTCGACAATCAAAGAATTGAGAAGGCTATTTGTACGAACAAAATTGACGAAATAAAGATTCGAATTTCTTCAAAAGTCGAAAGGGAAGTTGTGGATACTTTTTCAAAAGTACTAAAGGATCCATCGATTATCGGAAATCTGACAAGTATCGAAAAGTCTAGGTGAAGAATGAAGTTTCTGAGTGATAGAAATCTTCGAAGCTAAGCCGATTTTACTATTAACAAAGAAAGAAAAAAATTTAAAAAGAAATAGGTGATAGAATTTCGATAACAGATACAAAATATTATGAATTGCAAAAACAATAAAATATCTTACGAAAATATGCAAAGGTAAATTATACGATAATTATTTAATCCGAAAAGAAAACTTTAAATTCGATTGGATTTTGATTTAACGAAAAAAAAATTGGAATATTAATTTAAATATTAAATTCTATAATATTATTTTATATAAAAGGATAATTTATTTAATTTTTTATTTAATTAATAATTATATATTATTTTTTTCTTAACAATAATATATAAAGTTTCACACAAAAAAATTGCTTTTAATTAATATAGTTAAAACGTAACTGCGTTATCTTTTTTCTTTTATTTTTTGTGATCTTTAAGTAAAATGGCCGCAGATCTCATTTGGTACGTGCATCAAAAACATACTCTTGAGAGTACCATGAGAATTATCGCAGTGTTATTTCTCGCAAAGTTTCTTAATCCGGAACTCTTGCTACCGTCATCGTCGTAGTCGTTGTCGTCGTCCTCGTCCTCGTCCTCGTCCTAGTCCTAGTCCTAGTCCTGGTTGTCGTTACGAATTGCGTTGGTGAAAATGTAACGCGTTTGCCCTAGATATTCAACGGCACTATGGACGAAGGTCGTTAACTTTGGCGTCGGTACGTCTGGCGACGCTAGACTATCGTTAATTTTCCATGTATCTTTGTGTTAATCCTATCGTGTTAACGTATTAGTTCGTTACTTTATTATTTCCTTAATCTAGTTAAGCGCGTTTTCTAATCATTTCGATGAATCAACTTGAATTAAACGTCGTTTTATTTATTTCATTTAACCAATCTCACATAGTTACAAGATTTCAGTCAACATTACAGTGCATATCAACACTATCGTTCCTAAAATTTCGAAAAACTCAAATTTTAAACACAATTCAAATAGGTTGTATGAAAAGTTCATATTTTTCAATTTTCAAATAGACCAACGTTAATCCTTTATTTTCAAATTCACTATCTAATTGTTTTTACGTAAGAAATAATAATGACGGTATTATAACATTTCTAACATCGTTAATTCCACCATTAAAAATTACATTAATTTACAAACAAAAATATATTCATAAAAATATGATTTGCGAAGCGCGCGCATTCGTCTAAGAAGTGTGTCTCGGGGAGAAATTTAAAAACTTAGTAAAAAAAGAAAGAAAAGGCGGAGTGGGGGGGGAGAAAAAAGGAAAGTTGTTGGATGGTAGGGGTAAAACATACTCCTCCTTGGTTAAGAGAGTGATCCATTGTTATAGTCGACGGGGAAAAAGAAAGGGAAAAAAGAGAGTGATGTTAAAAAATATAAAAAGGAAATGGTAGAAAGCGTGAAATAGAAAAGAAAGAAAAAGCCGTCAGAGAAACGGTTGCAGGATGAGGTTTTTAGATTGGTGAGAGAGGGCGCGGCATAGCTCGTTGAAAATTTTCAACGCTCTTTCCCCTTTCTTTCTCTTCTCCAATCCACCACCAATCCACCCTTTCTTTATCTCTTTCTCTCTCTCTCTCTCTCTTCTTATCCTCTCGTTTTTCCTTTCGAGTTCAATGCTGCCTTTTTATAGAGAAGAAGAATATGATATATGATCGGTGGTTGGTGCGAACGATTTGTTGAAAGTTTGTCGCGTGTTTCGAACTAACACGATCATGAAACTTAACCGAAAAAAACTAAAATTGAACGTAGTGGAAACACACGTTCGAGCTCGTGCTCGGAAATTCACTCTCACAATCAGAATGGGACGGGCTAAGCCACGTGACGCGTTACTCTAGAGCGTTTCGTGCCGCAACGCCCCGTATTGATCGAACGAACATCAGCTGTACGGTTGGTAGCATTTATTCCTGACCGCCTGATAACTTGACTCTGACTCGACCACCATCGGCCTACTGACATTGTCACTTTCTCCTTCTCCTAACATTACTCTCTATCTCTCTTTCTTTCTTACTTACTTTCTTTCTTTATTTATTTATTTATTTCTATCTTTTTCAACTGTATCTATTCATTCTTTATTCAGTTTTTCATTTGTAAAATGTTCCCCATCTTACAAGAATCGTTCGTCTCAGTTTTGTAGAATTTTAAAATATATATAAAATGTAATTGAGTAACTGTAATGGTAAAGAATACAAGTGAGTTTAATTTTTAATTTGAAATAAACAATGCCTTGTTTGTATAGTATTATATATTTGATAACTATTTATAGAATTATTTCAAATTTGTTGATTGTACTCCTTTTATCTTTTCAATTATTAGATTAGATTCTAATATAAGAGTATAGAGTGATTCTCTCATTGGCTGACTAATATTACTGTTTTCTACTTCCAAATGTTCTTTTTTCTTTCTTATTTCTGTTTTTGTTTTCTTAATCTCTTAATTTTTTTTTCAAGATTATTGTATTTTTAATTATAATTAAAAATTATAACAATATATGAATTTTCATATCTTTTATATACTTAAAGAAAATTATGAATGTTTACATCTCTTGAATGAGAAAAAAAATTAATTCTTGACAATGAACGCGTTATTAATTGTTGACCGAAAAAATTCGTACCGATTTATAAATATAAAAGTGTGTTCTCTTTGAGTTTTCGTTATTAAAATCAGTACGAATATTTCGATGAATCCAATAATATTATAATAAAAATTGAATATAAAGGCAGGTATTGTAGAATACAACGGTTCCCAATCTTTAGCATTTCTTTAGTTTATTACGGTATTTGTTTTTATAACGAAGTTATACGAAAAGAGAAAGCTTTCTTTTATATTAATTATTCAATTAAATTCGTATATACCCTCGAAAACAACACTTGTCACGTAAATTCAGATTGGGAATTGCTAGATTATAATTAAATATGTAAAGATTAAAATATGATTTCATTCATTAAACTCTAATGGAATTTATTCGAGTTATATTTAAATGTGTAATATTGTTGAAGTTAATATTCAAAAAAGAATACCTATAATAATAATGAATTCGATAATTAGTTTAAAAAAAAAAAATAAATTGTTTTACAGGATTGTTTTAAAAAGATTGTTTCACTGGAGTTGGTCGTAAAGTTCAAAGCTATAATCGAGTGATTTCTAGAGTAATCGTCAATCGATATTTCGGTCAGGAGAGTTATAGAAGTATGTGTAGCCCAGGGGAAAATAAGAAATTAAGGAGGGTAGGAGGTCGAACGGTGACGGTGAATGATTTAGCGGGTTCTCGCTTTACACTAGCCGCGATAGCCCTCAAGCGAGTACGTAAATTGCTAGTATTTTCCACAACGTCAAAGAAACGTCGTCTATTTAACTTTGAATGACGTAACGATCGAACAGAGATGGACATTACAAATTTACTTTTTATTCTTATTCTTATTATTATTATTCATAAATTATTAATGTTCTCCGGTTATACCCAACACGTTTTTACGCGGTTCGAGAAAAAAATATTTGTTTTACACGATTTTTATTCTATCTAACTTTATATTTATTAAATTGTACGTAAAGTTCTTGCTGATTTTTATATTGAATAAATAATTGTGTGTATATAAATGAATAATTGTATTTTTAATCTATACAAACATTATTTACTTATTTAATCATTCATTTATATTTACCGATTTCGTTTAATTTTTAATTAACAAAAATTCTACATTAGAAAATATTAATTATTCTGTGTATACACAAAGATCTAGTTTGACCGAGACTTAATATTCTGTAGAAGGTGCCAAGTAGTACGAAATTTACCATGTTTATTATTTCCAATTACGAAGCTTTCACGGTCTTGCTTCGGGCAATCTTAAGATTGGATCGTCGTGTTAGAAAAAGAAGAAGAAGAAAAAGAAAAAGACAAAAAAAGAAAAAAGAAAAAGAAAGATAAGAGAGATAGGACTCTCAGACGTCGACATTAGGTACTTGTACGAAATATATGCACTAACATGGTAGGACACTCGAAGCTTTTGCTTTAACTGACTAATCTCTCTCTTTCTTTTTTTTTTTTGCTTGTTATCCTTCTCTCTCTCTTTCTTCATATTTTTTAGTACTTGTGTGTCGACACGATCGGCTTCTTCAAGTCACCAGCATCAGCACCAGAAGCAGAAGCAGCAACAGCAGCCTCGGGCTGTTTCAGTTGATGCCGTGTGTTTGCGGTTTGCTCATTCTCTGGAAAATGCAAAGCCTTGCCCCTGACGGATAACCCTCGACGATCTCGTGAGAGAAATTTCAACGTGGCAAATATTTCGTTACCTTCACACGTTATAACTGGCTCACTGACATTTTCCATTCGTCCGTGTTTGGATATGTATGTATTTATGTATGTACATATGTACGTACGTTGAATGTAACTTCTCCCAAGATGACGATTCCTTTCTAGTCTACTGCTTTTGAGAATTTGATTGTCGTATCGATCGAAAAAAATGAGAGAGAGAGAGAGAGTATGATATAAAAAGTACATTTTTTACGAAGGAAAATATTAGAATTTTATATGTATAAAATATTTTCAATCCGAGTTCACAGTGAGATTAAAAAAGTTGTTGATAAATAATAAAATTTAATTTAATATATTATTAAAATCAATTTAGATTGAATAAAAGAAATATAATAATTTCAACTTTATTATTTATCTTAAGAATATAATTAGATTTCGTCGGGTTCGTAAATAATTATATGCGGAAAAATGAGCGAAGCTAGTTGAAGAAAATTTTTCACGATACTAGTGAGAAGCAAAAGTTTCAAAGAAATATTAAACGTAAAGTTAACAGAGAAAAATAAAACAAAGAAATAAAGAAATTCATTATTTAAAAACACGATTTTTATTTGTCTGTAAAGCTCTCTTAAAAGGTAGTATCGAAAAAAGTACAATAAAATAAAACGGAGCGTGTTTCGAAGTGAAAGCAAACGAATTCGAGTAGATATCTGATTGGTGCCATGACAATGATCATTGAAAACCATCCGTTGTATAACAAAGGATTGTTTGTTATTTTTTCATCTAAAACATCTTGGCTCTCGCTTCGGAACAAGATTCAGTTTAACGATCTTATTGTTTACGTAAACGAGCTTGCACCTGGCTCACATTGTAGTCGTTAAATGCATAAACAATGCTAGTCTTGACGGATGTTAAGTTATCTTAAAATATCGTATTTGAAAAACTCTGTATTCTTTATAAACCTAATAATAACTTTTGTATTTATAAAAAAATTAAATAACTCTAATGTTTATTATAAATATATTAATAATTAATATAAATGTTACTATTGTATAATGTATATAATTAAATTATCATATTAGTATATTATATTATATTTAATTATACCATATATAAGAATAATTATAGATAATTAATATAATATAATAAATAAAGTCTACAAAAAATATATTATATATAAATATGAACATACATCTGTAGCATATAATATAACATATTATCAATTCTTTTAATAGAGAAATTATTTGATTTCAATCCATCGTAGATTAAATTATGCCACAATTGATTAAAATTATTATAACTACTATAATATAACCATACTATAACTTTATACTATATTATATTATATAATAAATAATTTATCGAACATTCAATTTTCAGATTCTTATTATTTATAATTAAACATATAGATGTTTAATATATAATATTTCTGTGCAATTTATCTGCCTAAAAATATTTTCTAAATAATAATAATAAATATTTATAAATCTCGTTATGTTACAGATGACATAGAATGGGTTGGGTGGTGCTAGGGCGGTGTGCGGGTGGTGGTGGCCGCCTCTCGTCCATCCTCTCGCTGTCTCTCACCTCCCTTGCAAGTTCTCTCATCTTTACCATCCTCTGTATCCTCACACTTGCCCTCACTCTTGCCAGTCTCGTTCGTGCCGAAAACAACATGTACGTATTACCATTAACAAAAATAATAATAATAATATAATCTTAATTTCTCGGCCAACAGATTGTGTTTATTACATACTTGCTATTAAAATTTTACTTCAATTATGCAAATGCAACTGGTATTTTATTGTTCAAATTGCATATCGGAAACGTTTCGTGTAGCGAGTATTATTATTATTATTATATATAATATATACGTAGTAAGTAAATGATTTAGTAATCGTGATGTTGTCACTATCAAAGAAAAACCGATTAGGATACTTTAGCGTATTGTAAAACTTACGTTTTTTCGATCGAAATATTATTTCATACATATATATATTACATATGTAATATTTTGCTCGGAAACGTCGTGTAGATGCTATTTACATATTTATGTACATTTAGAGAGCAGTGTTTTTTCTTGTTCGATTTTAGTAGTTCTTCTTTTATTATTATTATTATATTATATATACATATATATACAATTCGAATGTGTTTGTAGATATGTTACATTTAGATAATTTGAGATAACAGTGTAGACTATTTTCGTGATCTTTAGATAAAGAGGACCTCGAATAGTCGAACTGATCGATATTCAATTTTCATTATATTTAAAAAAACAAGTGAAAGAGATACAAAATATAAAAGAAAAAAATAGAATCCACTTAAAAGAAAGAAAAATTAGTAGTAAAAGTACACGCGTGATCAGACAAGATCCATTCCCATATCGTTATTACTTTCAAATGATATTCGCGAAATATTGGGAAACAAGTTGACTCGCTTTCGCATTAAAAAAAAACTCGACGATTATCGAAATATACAAGTTTGGAAAAAAAAAGTTGTATAGATATATATATGTTAGTATGATAAAAAGTTGTTTAAAACAACTTTCGATTTTCTTCGAACTACTTCGAGATCCTCCATCGAGAAAAAAAAAGAAAGGGGGAAGAGAGAGAGAGAGAACAAACACGTTTCTGTGTGTTCGAGGCAAATCATTGGGTTCGAGCAAGAGGACGAACGCCAAAAAACAAATATCCTGAAATTCTTCTGTCCGATGCGAAGAAAAATCTTCTCGTCGCGGAGGCTACTGTAATTAAGAATAAACCAAAAAAAAAAGAAAAAAAAAGAAAAGTAAAGTATTAAATAGGAAATATCATTTTGTACATATAGTGAGTTGTGTTGCAGCTTCGAGGAGGGCAAATCGGACAAGGAGATTCTGGACGATCTGCTGCAGACGGCGCGTTACGACAAGCGGCTTCTGCCCCCGGTCCAAGGTACACTGAGGCCCCCGCCCCACACCCGCCAAGACGACTACACCCCTGACCTCGTACCCAATGACCCCGACCATCCAGAGCACCTCGAACATCACCGGCACCGCTACCACCACACAGCACCACACAACCACAGCTCACTGCTCACCCCTCGTCGAAAGGGTACTCTCTATATATGATCGACCCATTCATAATGATGATGATGATAATGATAATGATAATGATAATGAAAGCGACGAGATAAACGATCCAAGTGATAAGAGTGAGAAAGATAAGAATCAAGTCTGAAAGCATTTGTATGGGTTCGAAAGTGTGGCATTATTTTTAGGTTTCGTGTACGTATATGTGTGTGTATGTGTGTGTATGTATGTATGTTTGTATGTATGTATGTATGTATGTATATAAGCGGAAGCAAGTAAAAGAGAAGGGAAGAATGAAGTTTGTTCAGTAGAGAAAGTCTACGAGAGGTCAGCCAAATCGGAGAGACTACGTCCGACCTTTGACGGACCTTATTCACTACCACTCACGCGAACTACACAATAAGAGAATTTCCTTGATCGTTTTACCCTTTGCCCTCTAACTTCTATAAAACAGTAGATTCTCGAAGGATATACGGACGTTGTTAAATTCGCCTAATTTCTTCTTAATACTCGTTGAATGCTTTATTTAAAATATTGTTTTATATAAAAAAAGGTTTATATTATATATATATAATTTCAGTAAGAATAGAATATAACGAGAAAATAAATCAATATTATTGGAGAATGAATTAGTTTATAAAGTTAAATAAAAAGAAATAAATTATTTATAATAATTCTCAAATGTTATATATAAAATAATATTATAATTACATTAATAAAATAATTTGTGTGCTAATTATTTTCAAACGAAATAGAGAAAACAAAAAAAAAGGAAAGAAGATAAAATTTCATTGAAATTCCACAAGAAAATGATCTCTAATTTAAATGAAGTTTCTCCGCGTTCATCTTTATCGTTTAATTATTAAACGAAGAGTATCTCTCCCTCGTTAATATATTTCGTTATAAACGAGTTAATTTCGACGAACAAGGACAAGCTGTCGGTATTGTGTTCTACGTTTATCGAGTCTCTCTCATCGATCGACAAAGAGCGGCACGTAGGAAATACCAACTCTAGCAAAGCTATTCGCGTTATAAACGGAAAAGCTTGTTTTAACGCGATGGAAAAGCAACCGACGCGATTCATCGGCGTACGCATTATTTCACCAGAGTTTAAACGGATAGTTAGGTGAATATGCACTCTTCGTTTTCTGTGGTAGCTTTTATCGTTTAACTTTTTCCCTCATTTGGACAATAATTTCCAACGAGAGGATAATTAGTAACATATCATTGAATTATTGTATATCGTATTTTGTGTTAAAAGTCATTTATTTGTTGGAACACATAAGGTTACTCATTAAATTTATATCAAGGGAATTCCTTAGTTTATATTTTCTATGTCAATGGTTGAGATGTGTGCAAATTTGATATAAATATTTATTAAATCAAATTATTATTTCTATTAATTGGATTTAACTTTTATAAAAATACAAAATTTGTCGAATATTTTACAATTATATTTTTATATTATCATAATTTGCACGCACACCGTATATAAGAAAAATATTAAAAAATAAAATAATATTAGAGAAAATAATAGAAAATAAAGTTTATTCCGATTTTGGTTACACTCGTATTCGATTTTACGTTCGAAAGCTTAAACGAGCATTTCGCTAGGGGAAAAAAGCTTTTATCAGATATCCTCTGTTAAATGGAAACAAGTGTGATAAGCGGACGTACTACTAGCAGCAGTATCAGCCAATAGCAACAGCAGCTAGCAACAATAACAATAACAGCAGCCAACAGCAAGCAACAGCTTCTAGCTATCGCTCGTAGAAAAAGCTCAGGAGACTTATTAGGCACTTTGCGAATTAGTTGTTTATATTTATTTCGAGCACTTCGGCTTCATCGAACACACGCGCAGCATTTTCGATTGTCTCGAAACGATTGCTGTTTTAAAAACGGCATCGTTCTCTGCTTTCTCGGTAGGAGAGAGGCTTTTTTTTCTATTTTTTCCTTCTTTTTTTTTCCTTTATTATCTCGTTAATATTAAAAGCTAATCGTGAAGCGCTAGCCAATTTGTACTATTTAAAAATTCAATATTTCCAATGCAGCTGTGTGTCGATTCTCAACTTTCTTCTTAAAATTGCTTATTCTTCTTCTTCTTCTTCTATTTCTTTTCGTTGAATAAAATCTTCGATAAAACTTTGGAGCTTTTAAACGTATTCTTTCAGTTGTTGTCATGAAATTTATTAAATGATGCAGAGCAGTAGTTAGCATTTTTTATTTTTTCCATGCAGAAATGATCTAGTAGCTTCATATTTGAAATTATCCAAGTTGTATTATGAAATATTGTGATTACATGGAATATAAATATCAGGAACGGTAAGACGTATTTAATATAGGAATAACGTAAATCGAGAAAAGCTCGGTTTTATAAACTTTAATAGAGAAAAAAAAAGAAACAGAGAGAACAAAATGTATGAAAGAAAAAGAACAAAAAAATGAATGAAAGAAAGAGAGAGAGAGAGAAAGAAAGAAAAATAAAGAGAAATAAAGTATGAGTGAATGAGTGAGTGAGAGAGAGAGAGAGAGAGAGAGAGAGAGAGAGAGAGAGAGATAGAAAGAGAGATCTGAAAGAGGCTTTTATATTTCTTCTTCGATAACTTTCCTCGGCGTAGTTCAACACAAAGCTGACTCCTTGATGTCTGCATCGGCAAGTTGATTAATCGTGAGAGAAGAAATTACGAGAAGAGAAAGCTTCGTGGTTAGATCATTAAGCCGTAAACTTATTCTGCGACACGGAGCCGCAAGCTTTTCTTCTATTTCTGTAATCTTCTATCTAACTATTATATCCATATATATGTATATCTATGTACATATAAATAATGTATGCAGTAGGTGCACATTTATGTATCTACTCACGTACATCTACGAGAGTCACGATCCAGTCTTATAATAATCGAACTAAAGTTACGTGCTTATGCAATCTTGCGAAGATCAATTAAGATGCTTTGCTAATTGGCCTACTCACTTTATTCTTTTATTATTCTTTTATTATACTTTTCTTTTCTTTTTTTTCTTTTATTTAATCTTGCATTGTCTTTTTTTCTTCCTTTAATCTACGTTAAACTCTATCCATTTGAACTGAATTCTTCGGTTGGTCAAAAAAAAAAGAAAAAGGAAAAGAAAAGAATAAAAGCTTTGTATAATACTTACCTTTAGAGAAATTACATTTAAATAAAATATACACGATGACGTTTCCGTATACTACTTTTTCTTCTTCTTCTTATCGTAGATTATTTTTTTTTTTTTATTTTTCTCTATTCGAAATTATATTTCCAAAGGAAAAAAATTTCGATAAAATGTCGCGCATAATATATTGATCCGATAAAATGACGGATTTGAAATTCTCTTCGATCTCTCGAGTAAAGTGAATTTTGTGTATGCGAAAGAGAGAAAGATAGAAAGAGAGAGAGAGAGAGAGAGAGAGAGAGAGATAGCACGAAAGAGGAAAATATTGACAAGTTCTTGCCAAATCTGTAGATATCGTGAGCGCGTGCATCTGTAAAGCAGTGTGCCAACAGCATGGCTACAATCGGCTGAATAGATTCATGCCAATGGCATTCGCAAGCCAATGGATGCCAAGAGTGACACGCATATACTGGGATTTGTGTATCATTCTTCTTCTTCTACTAACATAACTTTTTTTCAATTTCTTAGCCCGCCCTCGAGATTATTCGTATTTATTACTTCGAAATATTTCTCATGAAAATATCTATTATTCATTTGTGTAATCTCGAACTGATTTTAATGATTATTCCATTTTGATTTCATTCTTTCTTTTTTTTCTTCTTTTTCAAATCTAAATTGATATCGAATTTAATACGAGAATGGTTAAAAGAAGAGAAACAAACAAAATAATATAATATCAGGAATAGATAGGAAAATGTGGAAATAGGAGGACGATCTTGTCGCTTAAACAAAAGTTCTTATTTTCATGTGAAAATAAATAAGGAAAATGAAATTATATATTTAAAAAACGAATAATTATTTTAACTTATTAAAGTTATTGGCCAATATCGACGAAAAATTTTCGAACAAATAGCAATTATCTTTCGTATAATTCTATTTGGTATGATAATGAATCGTTTTTCTGTGGATCGTAAAGTTAGAAAGAAATTTATGAAAGAAAATGTTCCTCTAAATAATCAATTTTAGAGATAGGAAAAAGTAATATAACTTGGTAGTTTGAATTCAGTGTCTTGTGTTAATAAAATACTTTAATCTTATACGCGAGGGTCGTAAAAAAAAGCGAGTGCAATGACGAGGATAAGAAAAACTCTTTCGTCGATAAGAAAGGGTGAAAAATAATAAATAAATAAATAAATAGAAAAATATAAGGATGGGACGTGGGCAAAGGTTGTATGGTGTTTCGGCGACTGGTAACCAACCCCCTTTCGATCGTGATCACTCTAAATACACACTCGATACTCTATAACGCAATATACTACGACAAACCCTTCACCCCCCACCCTCACCCCACCCCTTTGCAACACTTCTCCACCCTCATCACTCTTAATCGTTTTGCGAATCACCAGCCCAATCACTCTAACAAAAGGGCAATATACAGAGAGAATCAATTGATGTCTGTTTAATAATCGATGCTTAGAGAATAAATAAAATCAAATCAAATATAGAAAGCAAAAAGTGTATTAAATATATATCAAATGAATATATTATATATATATATATATATAGTCCCGACAAAATTATATATACCCAAAAGATATATAAGATAAAAGATATGGAAAGAATAAAAATTGGAAGCACACAAACACAATTTGAATAAAAATCAAAATAAAAATAAAAGCAAACAAACAAACATAACAAAAAAAAGAAGGTATAATAAAAAAAGGATGAGACGTGGGCAAGGGCTGTTGGGTGTTACAGATGCGGATTTCTGCTGCGGAATGCAATGGCCTGGTGACACCACCGGCCTGGCAAACCGGTCGTCGACCTTCTCTAACGACCCCAAGAACCAGAACAAGAACCAGAACAATATCCACTACACGCCGCACCAACACCTTCGCACTCACCTTCGCGGTCCGTCCTTCAGCTTTTGCTTCGTAACCTCGTCTATATAGAAATAATAATGACGGTTGTTTCGGTTTTAGCCAAACTAACTTCTTCTTCTTCTTCTTCTTCTTCTTCTTCTTCTTCTTCTACTACTACTAACTATTGTTATTATTATTATTACTACTACTACTACTATTACTTTTACTATTACTACTACACAACAACAACAACTACTACTACTACTACTACTAACTACTTACTACTTACTACTACTTACTACTTACAACTACTTTGGTCGACTAGCTAGCTCATTCGGTATTCTAGATGGCCTGACACGATTCCCACTTAATTATCGTACCTCTCTCGCCCGCGGATTTCTCTATCTTAACGGATATAATTAACGCCTAGTCGCTTCGTGATAATTAGAGAGATTCGTCGTCTTCGTCATCGTTGTCATCTCTAGTACCCCTCTCTCTCTCTATCTCTCTTTCTCAACAACACCGAGTGTAATGAGAGACTCTTACCATTTTTGCGTTACGATAACGACCGAGAATGAAATATCACGTTTCAAGAATTTACCAGTCCGTCTTCTATCCTTTTGCTTTTTCTAAATCGAACAAAATACGATCTCTCCTTAGAATCGAATTAATTTTAGGTAACGAGTATATATGTTTTATTATAGGGTTCGTTATAAAAAAGGAAAAAGAAAGAAAGAAGTGTTCACCTTAAAAAAGATAAATCTGGAATTATATTATCGCAAATAATTGTTGCATAATTATTTTCTAAATGTAAAAGAATCGTTAAGAAAAATATTTATTTGTAATACACGCGCGATATATTCATTTAATGATTTATATTCGGTAACATATAACAAATCTTGTTTATTTATTCAATTGTCATAATTATTAAAACATATACACATGCATATATTAAAATTATCATTATATAAATTAACATAATAATAATCTCTGAAATGAATAAACTTGAAAATTATCAAATATATTAATATTAAATAATATTAGGCATAATAATATTATCATACATTGATCGCATTTAATCTCATTAATTATATCCTTTAAAAAATAGATCACTTCTTTTAGTGTACCCTATATATAAATATAATATATATACATATACGTAACACACACACATCTGTGTGTGTATCCTAATCGAATAATTGAAGTTAAATCGTACAAAATGAATTTCCTTTAACGGTACAAAAAGGGAAAGATTTAAATTATAAACGCGTCAGATATTTTCATGTTAGTATTGTATGTATGTCTGTGTATGTGTACATCTTTATTCTCTATATTCGCGTGTCCTCTCGTGTATGCCCTATGATACTACACCCACGCACACAAATTAATGTGCACGGTCGAAGAAACACGGCGAGATCTAATCGACTATAATAATTAGGTGCCATTCTCCAATCGTCAGTCAAGCTACTGAATGGGCTGTGCGACGACCTTTCATACGAGGGTTCGTAGGTCGATCGATGCAAGCCACGAGCTATCCAACCCCCCACACCCCCCACACCCCCCTTCACCAACCTACACCCTTAAACCCTTATACCCCTTTCATCCCTTCCTATTTAACCACGATTATACGATTTATGTCGAGCTTCTTCTTTCTTCTTGTTCTTTCCTTCTTTTCTATTTCGTTTTTTGTATTATTTCTTTCTTTCTTTCTCTTTCTTGTTTTTCTTTTTGTCTTATTCAATTTTTTTTTTCTACGGTTTTGATAAAACAAATAGTTTTAATCAAACCAATATTATTAGCCGTTTATTACGTTAACGAGCGAATCAATTAACGAATGTTAATATAATATACCAAATTAATAAATTATACCAAAATTATCAAAAGAAAATGGAAGAGGAAATCGTGTTACGCTCGACCACGAACTTCGTAATATGAATTTTTTTTCTTTTCATCGAAAGAAAAAAAAATTCAAGAAGAACAACAACAACAACAACGATAACAACAACAACAGAAAAACAAGAAGGGAAAAAACTATTTACCCGTTTAAAATACTCGTCAAATGCACCACTTTGCACCACGTTAATAAACAATTCTACTATCACGTTCGTAATATATTATACTATACACACACACACTCACACACACACTCACACAAAATATATATAATTAAATGACCGGAGGATTGACGGTGTGTGGTGAGCTTGGTGTTTATAACTGTAGAAGTGTCTATATAACATTTTCTGGAGATATTAACACACGCACACACGCATAATTAAACACGTAACACAAAAAAAAAAAACAAAAAAAAAAAATGGAAATACGGCTGTCTGTCTTGTTTGTTTTTTTCCGTAGGTCTCTCTCTGTGAATTTTCTTATATTTGTATTTCTCTCTGTGTGTGGGTGGTGTAATGCGCGCGCGCGCGTGTGTGTGTGTCTCTTTCTCTTTGTTAGTTTGTAATAATCGTCGAATCACATCTTCCCTCTCCACTCATTTAATCAATCAATCAATCAATCAATCAATCAATTACTTTTACATCTTTTATCAATCCCTCGACGCTGCTTATATCACAGTTTTAATCGATTTGAATTCATCTTCTTCTATCATTCGCCATTTTGGATTCAAAGGGAGGAGGAGAAGAAGAAGAAAAAGAAAGAGGAAGGATAAAATATCAAAATGCCAATTCATTTTTCTCTTCTCTCCTTCGTATTAATCTTTCACCACAATACAATAAAATATTATTTCTCTTTCCCGTATATTTAAATCGTTTGAACTAGCTAGACGTAAAAAAAATAATCCATCTGACATTTTACGCATTCATACAACGATTTATATGTATTTGTATTTTTTTTTTTTGGTCTTTTCTCTATCATCAACGATGTTCATTATTCATCGTTTATCGAGATTACTCGTATATATTTATTAGATATTTTGTTATATATTTTTTATTCTAGGTTTTTGACTTTGTTTTCTAATTCACCATATTCACATATTCATTTGGCGTTTGCTTTTATCGATGAATATACATAATATATGTGTAAATATAATATATAAAACTATTATCAAATATTGCTAGACTCACAACGAGGAGATCGGTCGTTCGATGATATTTTTGTTTTTCTTCTTTTTTTTTTTGCGTGCATAACTAATAGAATAAAAATGCGTTTACGTTAAAAATTTAAATCACAAATGTTTATTCCAACTTTGAATCGTTCATAATTTTTCTTCGACACATATTTATATACACAATCAATTGATAAATATCGCAAGTACACATGCATTAATTGCATTTATCGATATGAAATAAAATAATGTACTTGGGGAATAGAAAAGATAATGCATTCGCGATAAAATTATAATAGCGAATAATGAAATCACATTTGTTTTTGTCCTCTGACATTTCTTTCTAACTTCAATCAAAAACAGAGCAGATCAATGGCTTATTACGATTTTTCAAAATACCTCAGAAACTAATCGCTTTTCAATTAAAATGTTTTTATTAAATTTCCATCATTATAAAAAAGAAAAAAGAACACGATAGTTTAAAATTTCATAAAAAAATATACGCCCTTAAAATAGTATAATATAATATTTTTCTGAGCATTTTTACGAAACTAAAAAAAATCATGAAAATATTTAAATTAACAATTTTTATTTTACAATAAATATAATTAATATTTAACTTTCACACACATTACAAAAATCTAATATCATTTATACATATATAATATATATATATATACATGACACAAAATTATTATAATATAAGATTTAACAAAAAAAATTCTATTTAATTTTCATAAAATTTGTCGAACAATATATGACCGAAAAAAAAGAATGAGAAAAATAATATCATTAAAACATCATACTAACATGAGATAAGAAAAAACGAATCAGAGAAATCGTTCAACGAATTTTAGAAACGTCACGTTTCATTCGTTCAATATGAAAACGCGCCGTGAGAATAAGTCAATAATAGTCTTATTAAATCTTCTTATCCTTCATTGATGGGAAAAAATATGAAAGGGATGTTTAGAGTTGAAGTAAGGGTAGTTATCGAATTAAACTCGTTCGCGTTTCCCCAATAGAAATATAAAAGTTGAAGGAGACGATCGTGTGCCACGATTTGATGGTATGTACTATATCTTGAAGTCAAGGTATTCTTCGAGCTTATTGTTAGTACTTGACGGACGCATCGATCGATCTCTCTATCTATCTATCCATCTCTCTCCTTCTCTTTTCTCTTCTCTCAAAGCCTAACCCTTCCCCTTTTTACCCCGTTCATTATTTATTTTATACCAGAGACCTCTTATCGGGACTCGGCGCCAACCGCAATGTTTATCCCACTACAAACACCAATCGATTCTTTATCCCTGATAGTTTCACACATACACGTATATACACACTTACAACCCTTACACATTTTACATTTTCATTTCTTTCTTTGTTTCTTTTTTTTTTTTTTATCTCTTTGTCAGTCTCTTTCAGAAGGGAATCTTTTTTACAAAGTAACCGATCAGAATATACGACAATTAATTCTAATAATAAGTCAAAAAAAAAAAAATAAGCTTCGAAGAAAATTTCATTCGTAATTTGTAAGTTTTACTTTTTTTTTTTTTTCGAAATAAAATAGTAATTTTTAATGAATTTTATTCTAAGATATTAAGCTTTTTAGTAATTGAAATTTCTGATCGTTTACTTTGGTTGGAGATGAAAAGAAATAATATGTTAAAAGTTAGCATACATCAGTTACAAGAAGAAGGTATACGAGATAAAAAGAACACTTGTCATGTACATCTCGTCATCCATTCATCATGGTCGTGATCCTTCATCTTTTTCGTTTCTCTCTTATGTATCTCATTCTTCACCGACGACATCCGTTTTTCCTTGAGCAACCAACCATTTTTTTCTCTGTAAGTCTCCGATCGTGAGAGAATTTTGTCACGTTCGCTTTTTCACAAAAAGCCGTGGTATTCAAAATTGTTGGTGGTTTGGGACTTGAGTTCATTAATTTTTGCATGCATCCGTCCACTTGTTGTCTGTACGAATCGTTCCAAAAGTTTCTGTCGTTAATATATAGAAATTGTTATGCAAAATCTAGTGTCGTTTATATATATAAGTATTTATATATATATATATAACATACACATACAATATTATACAAATTCGTAACATAAAGAAATGTATTGCTTGATATACATGATGAATCTCTCTTAACATGATGACTTTTCAAATAACTTTTAAATTATTCGTTGTACGAAAAAAATGTTTCAAACTAAAGTTCCATGTTACATACTGTGCTTTAATTCGTTTTTTGTTATCTAACTTTTTAATTGAGATATTGGGCTCACCTATGGTTTTTTTAGATACGAATATTTTTTTTCTAATTCGGATTAATAATCAAATTTTTGGTTAAAAAGATATTTCGGACATTCTAATTAAAAAACTGAAGGTAATTCTAATATTTTAATAAAAAAACAAATTAGAACACTTTATATAAACATTTAGATATCGTGCAACTTTTGTTTGATACATTTTTATTTCGTACAACGAATAACTTACGTGTTATTTAAGGAATCGCGTCATGTTACAAGACTCACCCTGTATATAACGCGAATTATCTCATTGTTTAAATGAAATAAATTATCCCGGTGTTTTTATTTCTTTTTTTTTCTTTTTTTTTTTTTTGTATTCTCCCCAATATAATTACAACGCAGTACAAATTTGAATAATAAAACAAACAGCACGTTATTACTCGTTCGTTACACTTCACGACGATATATATTTTAGACATATTATACGTTAGTTTTGTATAGCGCTCGTATATTTACATTGTTATAAATATTTATATTACTCGGAGTTATGTGTTACACAAAATATTGTTCAAAATGTTTCTCTCTAATAATGATATTTATTACCTACACACGAGATTTTAGCGCGAATTATCGCGATTAGTTAATTTGTTTGTCGGGAAATAAATAGATAGACAATTAGATAGAGATAGATTAATAAATATAATTAGAACTCGCTCGGCCAATCAGGACAAAGGATCGAGATATCACATCCGAGTTCTAATCAACGAGATCGTTGATAAATTCGTCGAATGGGTACACTTTACTTTTTTTTTTCTTTTTACAAAATGACAAAACTTTTTCTTACAATATATCCGAAAAAAGAAATCGACAAATGTGAACATTAATAAGAGAAAAAAAAAAACGAAACGAAAGAAATTGCAAAATTTAAAATTCGAATCTTTTTGTTTTTTCATTGACAACTTAATAAACGAAAGGAAAATAAAATAAAAAGACAGAAAAAAAGGGAAAGAAAAGATATTTTTAAAAAACAAAATTCGAAAAAAAAAAAAAAAAGAAAAGGGCAGCATGTGCACAGCATGGCTCAAAAACAGCTTCCGCCAGTAACAGCATTAACAGCTTAAGCCAGCGTAATACCTTGCTTACAAGTTTTTAAGCGCGCTGAACTCAAAGGAGATAAAAAAAAGGAACAAAAAAAAAAAAAAGGAGAGAAAAAAATATATATATATGTAAATATAAAATTTAAATAAGAAGAAAAAAAAAAAAAAGGAGGAAAAGATAACCAAAAAAAAAAATAATAAAAGAAAGAAGAAAGAAAAAGTAAGAAAGAAGGAAGGAAGGAAGGAAAGAAAGAGGAAGGGTGGGAGGGAGGTAAAAAAAAAAGAAAAGAAGGAAGGAAGGAGGAGAAAAAAAACATCGATACAGCAGCCTTATGATCGCCTTGTAAATCCTATAAATCGGAGTTTAATGGCGATCGTAGAGACTCTGACGTCGATCGATTTTACGTGTTCACGATGTTACCTCCAACTAATCGGATTTTCGGTCAATAATTAATGACCTAACGCACAATCCGGATTATTTGAAATCTTGATTTTGTTCTTTTACATATATACTCGGTGAGCCAAGAGTTTGTTAAACAATTTTACAAATTTTTTAACACACTTTTTGTGGGGACTAATTTTTTCATTCAAATCAGAAAGAAATAATCAGATCTTTGGTTTAATGGGATCTGAAAAAAAGAGAAGAAAAAAAAAAAAATAAATTGTCTAAACACGGGCTTAGAAACAAAGAAAAGTACACTTTTGTCAAGCTTTGTGTGTATGCGATATTATTTAGAATTTCAAAAGTAGAGAATAGCGGATAAGTAGGAGGTAAATCAATCGTGAACAAGGAAATAACAATAAAAAAAATACGATAGTACATTTTGATTTCATCAATTTGTTTCTGTTTCAGGAACCTTGACCGTCAACGTGAGCGTGTTGCTGCTGAGCCTGGCCTCACCCGACGAATCCAGTCTGGTAAACTGGAACTCTTTTAGCTTTTTCGAGATCGTCTTTCCAAAAAATAAAAAGAAACGAAGGAAATATTCGGAAATAAAACGTGAAAGGGGTTCTCTTTTAATCACGCACAATAATGTATATTAATCGATAATTCGTTTTATAAATTAGATCAAATAAAATTGTATGTACATACATAAATGACCGAAAAAATTGAGGATGCAACAATCTTGTCAAATGTATTCAGTCGTTTCTCTTTCGTTACTTAAGATATTGTTCGGTAAAGCTTGCAAAGAGAAAGATTTTTTAATGTGATTTTGATGTATTGTTTAAACTTTGTAATATTGTTATACCAAGTGACCCCCATATTTAATAAGACACTTCATAAAAGCCATTAATTTGATAGCGAATAACATTAGAACGAATCATCCTTTTTTTTTCATTTTTTTATTTAACACAACTAATATGGATATGATGTGAAAATCATTTCTTAACGGAAAACTTTAAATCAAAGTTGTTTATCCATTTCATCCTAATATACCTGTTACTTATTTATTCACGCGTTTCTTTTTTTTTCTTTTTTCCACTAAAGATGAGCTCGATGAGATACAGAAATAGAGCATGGGGAACGTCCATAAAATAAAAATTGCCTTTGCATGCGAGACAGTTCTTGACTATAGAAAAATATGTTCGGGAGTGGCCTTGCACGAACATAAGTTGTTCGCGCCGTTATTTGTTACGAAGTTTTTCTCGCGATAACTTTTATAGAACGCGACAGTCAAGTAGTACTTCTTGCATCGGTTGCAAAGGCCAACCGTTCTGTGAATATGTAATGAATTTCAAAGATTTCTATCCTCTGTGTGTATCTGTCCTACGTATAGTATGTATGTGTGAAAAAGAGAAAGAGAAAGTATGATCAAATTGTTCATTTTCCTTTTTTATTTTCAAATCGTCAAACTTTATATATTTGTCTTCAAAGCAATTTGAAAAAAGAAAAAGATAAATAACATTTACGTGATTTTTATATAATTCAACAAAATTTACATTTATAGAACCCATATAAAGTTCGAATAAATTTCTAAAGAAAATATCGTAAACATTTTGAATGAAAATTATTAATCACAATAAATTTGACAAATTGTTTCTCTTTATATAAGATAAACAAAAAAACATTGGATATTATTTTAAGAAAGAAATCTTGAAAAATATTCTTATATCAAATTGACGATCTCGATACAAGCAAAGAACATGAAAAATGGAAGGAGATCAGATGGTATTCAAAAAAAAAAAAACAAAAAAAAAAGAATAAGAAATGCATTTTCTTATTATAACTGTCTCCTATTTCTCTATCTTTTTTCTTTTTTTTTTTTTCAGAAATACGAAGTGGAGTTCCTGTTGCAGCAACAGTGGTTCGATCCGCGGTTGCGTTATAGCAACAGATCGCGATACGAATTCCTTAATGCGATACACCATTACGACAAAATCTGGCTACCGGATACGTATTTTATAATGCACGGCGATTTTAAAGATCCCCTTATACCGGTTCACTTCGCTTTGCGAATATACCGCAATGGCACCGTCAACTATCTTATGCGGTATTTGTCTCTATTATTTATCCTTATTTTTTTAATTCTTATTTCTGTTGTATTCAAAAGATACAAAATAAAATCAAATGAAAAATATATCAACAATTATCAAAAGTTTCGAATAAACACAATTATTATCTCGTACTTATATAAAAATGTATCATGAATTGTTCATTTAAAAGACACAATTTATTATATTGGTATAAGATAATTATACAATACGTAAATTAAATATTATTACATTATGAATTTTGCATAAGAAAATGATTAAATATACTGTGATATAAAATAATAATAATTATTATTATTATTATACTTATGTACTTATATATTAATTTTGATTTCAAAAGAAAAGAAAAAACATATTTATGGAGCATTCGAAACTTTTGACCAAGACTGTAGGTTTATACCATAAAGCACCCTTAACACTCGTGTGTGTATATGTAATCGTGCACATACTCGAGCAATTTTCTTATAATACGCTTTGCTAACAATAGAAGTCGTTCATATATATATATATATATACATATATATACATATATATATAAGTATTACATATACTTTCAGGTATATCCCATTTGTTTTACTTTGAAACGTAAACTATTATACAAGGGAGCGTTTATTTAACGAACGAGTTTACTTATTTTCCCACGTGCCTTTTATTCCAGCCAATACACCCACTATTATATTAAGGTTAAAATTGAAAAGATAATTAACGATAATGTCGATAATAATTTATTTATTAATGACGTAATGTCGATAAAAGTGTCTGTAAAAATTACGATGACAGTATGTTAACTTCGTTGAAAACGAATGATTCGTTATCACATTCATTTTATATCAAACATTTGACATTTTTTACGATTGGTGAGAAAATCACATTGTCGTAGAGTTTGTGGAATCCATTCACACATATAGAGAAAAATACGTTAGAAAGTTTGTCTGGAGAGAGAGAGAGAGAGAGTTTTACCTTCTTGACGTATCGTCATAAATCAACGACGAAGATTGGAAGTAAGCGTTAAGGGAATTGCTTGAAATAAAAACGATACATGTGTGTACACTTTATTTTTTTTTGCTTTTACTATTATATGAAAGATTTTCAAAATATGACGTGTTTCGTATTTGATAAATAATATATAACAATTGTTAATTAAAAAATTTAAATTTGAGAATATATATATATATGATTGTTTAATATAACATTTTATTTCACTATTAACTTTTATGAAATATTGTATGAAAAATGATGTAGAATTTTCTCACCGAACGTATATTATTAGCTCGGTGTTAACTTATTAGAATATCATTAATAATATATTGCTTTTTTATAATAGTATGATATATAAAAATGGTTAACGAGTAAGTTAGAAATTTTTTATCGAAATTTCAGTAAGTATTGACATTTGTTGTACTCAAAATTCTAGACAAAATGTTACCATTCTTTTTATATTTATGATTTTACTAAAAATTTGTAAAAAAATATCGATAATTTTCTACTAAATATGTCAAAAAAAGAAAAAATAATTAACTAACGTTATTCTATCCTTCAAAATCATAATATAAAATTTCGATATTAATCATTAACCAATTCAATGCATACAAATATATAAATATGTAAATATATAAATCAATCAAGAAAGTAAAAATATTATTTACAAATAATTGCTATAAATGATTTACAGGCGTCATCTAATCCTATCCTGCCAGGGTAGACTCAATATCTTCCCATTCGACGACCCACTGTGTTCATTCGCTATCGAGAGCAGTGAGTAATCAAAACAAAAAAACACATCATTATAATTATATTATTCAATGCACTATCTTTTTCTTCGAAATTCTACGTTTGATTGATTCATTATCAGGTTGTCATTTATGAAAGTTTATTCAAATTCTAATTGTTTATATATATATACATGATTTTTTTCAAATTCTAATTGTTTATATATACATGATTTTTTTTTTTTTTACTAGATTACAATATTCATTTTTTACTAGATTACAATATTCATTTTTTACTAGATTACAATATTCATTTTTTACAATTAATTAACACTCATTTAAAATATATCTAATACAATACTGTACTCTATGACAGATCCTAAGCCGGTAATTGTAAGAAATAAAATGATCGGGTATTTCATAAATAATAGTAAAAAATTAACCCCCAAAATTTGCGGAAAATCGTCTCGAGTTGCTGATTCGTCACAGCGAACAAAAAGGTTTCGAATGCAAAGTGTTAATATAATGTAATTTAATGACACGAAATGACAATTATACACATTTGTTCAATTACTTTTTGAGCAAATTTTTTTTTTAATCTTCGCAGTATCGTACGAGCAGACAGCGATCACGTACGTTTGGAAGAACGACGAGGGTACGTTACGAAAAAGTCCGAGCCTGACATCATTGAACGCTTACCTCATTAAGAACCAGACAATCACGTGTCCGATTAAAGTAAGCTGGCGAGGTGAGTCTTATAAAAAAAAAAAAAAAGAAAAATAAACAAAACAAGAAAAAAGAAATAATTTACGATCGTGATATAGTTTAAATAATCTCCAGGAATTATTTTATTATTTTCACATTGATACTATTATTATATTATTATCTAATTTTTCAAGTTTTCTCTCTCTCTCTCTCTCTTTCTCTCTCGGTTTCTCCCTCTCTCTCTCCATCTCTCTTTCTCTCTTTCTCTCTTTCTCTCTCTCTCTCTCTTTCCTTTTTTTCCTACATTTTGTTTCCTTTTTTTTCCTATTCTTTTGTTTTATACCTATACGTATATGCAAAGTGTCCTATAACTGATGGTACAACCAAGTAAAAGGTGATTTTGCATAAAAAACTAATGTTAGTTGAAATTGTACACTTGATGCAGTTTTACTATCTTACTCTGGGATATTTCGGAGAGTATTTTTGTGCTTTTTAATATATTATATTTTCTAACATTGTCAATATGATAATATCTTTCGTATCAGTTTTTACTCTTATGCTTATCTAACAAAACTTTTAGTTTCCATTTAGTTGTAAGCCCAATCAAATGTACTCGTAATATATATATATCGTAATAACTTCGTATAGCATACATTATACGAAGTTATACGA